CCCTGTGGATACGACCCGTTCTCACCCATTTACTACGTTAGTAGTTGTTTGAGAATTGGAATATAATTATAAATGTTTAAATTGGTGCTCCGGAGTGTTTAACGATGCACTTCTGGACACACCAGTCAGCGGTTTTTTTACCTTTTCAATGGTTATCTAGACCTTAACGGTTTAAAGTATAACCAGACCCGAGGGGCTGAACGGTTATCAGTTTTTCCGGTCCAACCGTCTAGTCCAATCCGATTTTGAAAACCATGCCTGTTACGGTAGATCGTGTCGTGGCCTTTTTCAATTTGGCTCATAACGTATTTAGCCACCAAAAGTTGGTGTATCGAAAAGACACAAGAAGCCCATTTTGAACTGATTTCAGGAAGTTCCAAATGGAGCTTTTCATGTCTTTCTCGCTTTATTCTTGTGCAGAAAGACAGGAAAAGATGCACAAAAAGATGTGCGATAGCCAAAATAGCTTCGAAATGCTCAGATCTTCATGCAAAAGCTCAATACATCTTTTAACTGACAGAACTACCAAAAGATCTTCCTAAAAAAACTTGCTAAATGGCCCCTTAATGTTTATAGAGGCATTTCAACCATAAAAAGAAAATAAATCCTTAAAATAAGGAATGCCAAACACAGCCTAAATCCCCCACCTGTACAAAAATTGTGCTAAAAACATTCAAACACGTGTCCACATCACACTTGTGCCACAAGACAACATAAAACCTTCACAAAGCAGTTCCATAATAACCCATAAATTCAACAATCATATCACAGCATATAGCTAGCACAACCAATTCTGGTTAATGAATCGCACCACTATTTTGGGATTCAATACATCTTAGCATAAGTTTTCCGCGCTGCAACGATGCCCTTCCTAAGTGCTGCATTGCAGTATAGCACAACATATCCACAAGAAGCCTTCGACGACAAAGTAGCATATAAACACCTCAATGAAACACTTAGTGTCTGTTTGGCATGGATGTCGTTGCTCCAGAAAATGGTGATACATTAGCGCCATGTCAGAAAAAACGGTGCTCCAAGAAATATCAATATGTTTGAAACCGTTTTTCCATAAAAAATGGTATTTTAAGCCATGCATTAGAAATTGAGAAGGCATGCCTTAGAAATTGAGAAGGCATGGTTTGGAGCAATGTCAAATTTGACGTTTTCTCAAATTGGAGCTCTTTGCTGTCAACGAGGACATTGTGCGGTAGTGACGTGGACTTTCTATAATGGGTACCAGTACTGAAAACAGATATGGAGCACTGGTACCAAATAGAAAATGTTATTGTTGCTCCAGGAAAAGTCCTATCTATCAACAACGTTTCCAAACAAAAAAAAGGTCAGAAAACGGTGCTTCCAACCTACACATCAGCAACATATATGCAACATCGATGCCAAACATATACCTAAAGTAAGAGAGGCTTCTAGAAGAGGGTTGTAGTTAAATTCATGTTCATGTGCAAATCTCAAGAAGGGCAAGAACCCAAAATCCAGGATTTCTATAGTGACACGTGGCAAAATACTCTACTTATGCCCTCTCTACCTCAGATCTAACTGAATAATAAACTTTTCCACTTTGGGGAAAGTTTCCATTCTTCTTACACGTTTTCCTCTATAAATAGAGACCCAAAGCCCTCCTCACGCATTCCATTCTTCTTAAACGTTTTCCTCTAAGTAGTGCTTATTTTAAAAATATTTAGGGCATGTTTGAGAGTGCTTAAAAAATCCAGCTCTTTTTTAAGTGCTTATACAATAAGCATTTATTCAATTTTTTTTCTTCCAAAATTATCCTTAGTTGAATTTTAAAATACCACTTATAAAAATACTCCTAGTTGAATTTTATAAAAGTGATGTAGCGTGATCTGACTGCTCCCTGCTGGAGGGTGATCTGACTTTCAGTCGAACGGCGAGATAGGTGAATCTACAAGATAAGATCAGAGAACTCGGGGTGGCTAACCCGGTGAGGTCGCTCCGATGCTTAAGTTAATAATCTGAAGTGAGCTGAAGAGCTTTGAGAGTGTAGAGAGCTAGAGAGCTAGAGAGCAGAAAAATCATGCGTACTTTGTGCCATCGGGGTTGGAGCCTTTATATAGTTGAGTAGTCATGGGGCACACGAAAAAGTTCCGGGATATCCAGGATGTGGAGATAGAGTTCGCTCCACTTCCAAAGGAGCAGTATATAGGTAAGGCTTATCTCGTTCCACTTCCGATTCCGGCAGAGTCAGGATAAGTCCTTATCGTGATCCCAGAAAAGTCGGGGTCTGTTAACTTATCGTGATCTCGAGGGATTCGGGATTCGTTGGAGAAACCACTGGAGTTGGTTGCGCGGGATTCAATGGCGATTCGAGTTGTTGGTTCCAAACTAGTACCTCGGCCTTTTAGTTCCGAACTGGCTTGAATACCAAGGTGCCTCGATTCCGAGGTGAGACTTGCACCGAGGTGGTCCTGCTCCGAGGTGAGCCTTAAGTTGAGGCGGCCTTTGTGCCGAGGTGACTGAATACGCGAACTCAATTGTTGCAAACTGAACTTGTCAGGCTGAGTTGTCATCTCTTGGTTAGGTCGTGTCCACGTGTCCCCTTTTTACTAGGTCGGGCCAAATCACCCTTCATCAAAAAGTATTTTCATAAGTTTTTTTGTTAAAGTGCTTTCATAAAAGTGCTTTCATAAAAATATTTTTATAAAAATGCTTTCATAAAAGTACTTTTGTAAGTGCTTTCATAAAAATACTTTATTATAAAAGTACTTTTATAAAAGTACTTTCATAAAATTTAAAAAAAAAATGAAGTACAAAACAGTCACAAATTTAAAAAAATTGGATGCCAAATGCAAATAAATACTTATTCCAATAAACAGTTGTTTTTAAACACTTATTTGTAACATAAACACTCCCAAACATGGCATTAGATAACTTTGTTTTTTTTTTATGTTTATATGGGCTTTTTGATACTAGACTTGCACTCCCCCATTAATAACTTCTCTTAAACAATGAGAGAAACTGTGGCTTCGCCATGCATGCATGGATGGATTCACACCTAATAACTAATTGCATTAATCACAAAGGTCCAACCACCATGGACTAAAAAAAACTCACAAGGATAGCAAGTTTGGATGACCCGCCTCCAGAAATGAATACATTAATCTTTCAAACCGTTGGGACTGAAAAAAAAAAGATGAGAGTACAGAAAGATAGAAAAAGAAGAAAGCAAGGTTCTGAAAAGGTCAGCTCACCACCTTTACTCTAGCCTCTTAAATCTTGATTTGCCGTGTGGGTGTGGCACAGAAGAGCAAGGAGGACAGACAATCTATTTAAGGGATGGTGATGATGATCGATCCAATCTGATACATGGGTGGTGAGGTGTATAATCTTACATGGGTCCCCTTGAATTAAACCGGCCAGGCTGGAGAAAAGAAGAAACAACACAGACAGACCAGACCAACAAACACAGAAGAGACACAAAACCAACAACAAAGTGAACAACCACAGAACCTAACAGACAACACACTAACAACACAAAACATACTAGCCACCAACAGACACACCTACAGACTTGTTACAAGAAGAGAACTCAACACTAAGCACACAGGATAATTTAATTACTAGATCTATATATTTCCCTATTTATTTCTTTTCTGTAATTGATCAACGTATTTGATAGTTGAGTGAAGAAAAAGTAATCCACATGTCTACAGCTGGTTTTGGAAGAAAAAAGTGAACGCAAGATCAATCCAAAGAGAAGCCCAATGTGATGGAAATTAATACACCAAATAGAGTCTACCCCAAATATGTTAAGAGTCTATATAACAGTAGGGACTAGACAAATAAAACTTGGAGGGGGCAAGACTTAATGGACCCTCCACATGCAAACAGAGCACGCACACGATTTGGTAAGAAACAATGAAGATAACCCAATACCATGTGGCAGAGGCTCCCGATATGTAACTCATCCCCCTCCTCCATTTTCAACGACTCACCCTTTTGAGTAATGCAAGGGACAGAGACCTAACTCCAACCCCAAACGACGATGCATGAATTCCAGCCACATCACATGTCACATGGGCAAACGTAAACCTTTTCTCCACTCCATCAGCTTATTTCTCTGACTGAAAATGTGAAAAACCCAGATAGATTCAATTAACTTCGTTTCAGTCTTACGCATATATATGCAGCAATAATCAAAAGTCTCTCTCTCTCCTAATTAGTCATCCATTAGAATGAAATGTTTATTGAAAGTTGCTGGCCACCGGAAGCTTTAGTTCATAGCTGAATAATTAGCTCCAATTGATGATCAGATGGTCCAGGAAAACTCAGCTGCATTAATGGCCCACAATCACAAGTTAGGTGTTATAATTGTTACTCTTGATTAACACCTCTCAATTCTCAAATAGATGATAGATCATCATGTCAAACCTAACTCCGAATCCTAATATTTTTATAATATACACCAAGCAAGCTAACTATTTCAACTTTGAAGCAAATTTGGGTTGTTGATTAATCATCTATATAGTAACTATCGTGGGACCATCTAGTCTAGCTAAAAAGAAAGGAAAAAAAGAAAAAACTATGGTGGGACCCACCTGCAGGTTAACAGCAACATCATGACCATCGAAAGCCTAGATCATCAAGATAAGCATGGGGGCGCCGAATGAGTGGTCTAAAGAATTGCATCTGCATGGAATTGACTAGTAACGCAGATGATGTCTAAGGTGAATGTGATGGGCTGGGGTGGAGTGGAGTGGGCCCTCTAAAATAGTAAAAGGATTGTAGACAAATTTATCATGTATAGTACGCTTACGTTGAAAATCAATGCATTCTTTTTTGATGGGCTGGCAAATTGGCCCACGTTCAAGTAAGCTTCAAAAAGAATGTCATGTACCTATTCTTGTAAGGCCCAGTGGTCTGCATCAGAGCCGGCATGTCATGTGCTCTCTCACGTCCCAACCCTTCTTCTAATTATTTATAATAACTAATAAGCCTTTCAATTGTTGTCTCTCTCTCTCTCTCGAGCCCAACTCTCGTATCAAAGAACAATGTGGAACTGCTTGAAACCCAACAAAGTTGTAGCAGGCGGAGAGATCCAGACGCCTACACCGGCAGAGTCATCGCAGTCCGTGAGGCCGAAGGAAGGTCGGGACGGTGCCGTCGGTGCGAGGTTCAAGAGCGCCAACAAGACGGTGGTCGTCGATGAAGAGAGCAAAGGTGACGCCGCCAAGTCCAGATCCAATGGGGTAGTGAGGTTGAAACTTGTGGTGACCCAACAAGAGTTGAATCAACTTCTGAGTTACAAGAAAGAATGCAAACACTTCTCGGCGGAACAGTTGCTAAATTTGTTGAAGCTGAGAAGCAGAAGGAGGATTGCCCTTGTCAGAGTCAGAGACGACGATAACAGTGCTTGGAGGCCAAGTTTAGAAAGCATCCCAGAGGATCATTTCTCTGTGTGAGATATCTTCTCACTTCTGGCTGACTACTGCTCTTGTAATTGTATAGAAATTCCCATTTAGTTCTGATCATTTCTTAAATTTGTGTGACCTGGATGGATAGTTAAAGGTGATTGGTCCTACTGCTCTTACTGTTTCGCTTTTTTTCAATTATCTATTATTAATTTGTTTTTTGTTCTTTCTTTTTCTTTTGGGGCGGTGAAAAGATTAGATTCATTCCAGAAAAAAATAAAAAAATAAAAAAAAACAAACAAACAAATAGATTACGCATCAAACAAACCAGGAAACCAAACACAAAGCAACAAACTAAGATCCAAATTGGAAATTGGAGTTGTTTATATTCGAATTCGAATTGGAGATTATCCGTAGGATCGGATTCGTATCAGATTCGAAACGGATGATTCAATAAACTAAACTAAAAATATTAAAATATTATATATTGAGATGGATAGATAGATTGATACACTGGTTATAAAAGTGTGAATGAAGAGGTATTGACTTTTGGAATTTTTCTTTACTGAAATACCCCTTCTTTTGAATATTATTAAGCACTTTCAATTACCTCTCATTAAGTCTCACATTTAAGTCATTAAATAAGTCACATTCTCTCTCATTGAATCCAACAATTATATTTTTGTTTATCATCATTAAATTCCACTAATAAATCTATACACAATAATTATTAATAGAATAAAATTTTATATTTTTAAAATAAACATAGAAATGAAATCATGTTTTTCATCTACGTGGTGGGTAAGTAGTTCAACCATTTGGGTGAAATGGATAACTTCATGGTGTCATAAATAAATAATACAAATTTAGAAATATAAGAAATACTTTTGTTTATCATCATTAAATACCACTAATAAATCTATACACAATAATTATTAATAGAACAAAATTTTATATTTTTAAAATAAATCTAGAAATGAAATCATATTTTTCACCTGCGTCGTGGGAAGTACTTCAATCATTTGGGTCAAATGTATAATTTCATGATATCAAAAATAAATAATACAAATTTAGAAATATAAGAAATACAAAAAATATAGAAAAAAAAAAGAAATTTTGAAAAAAATTGGACACATTTCTATTATTATATATTTGTCATATTAAAAAATAACTATGATAAAACAAACATAATTTTATTAATGATGGACATCAAATATACAACTTAAAACTGATAGGAAATTTTAAACCATCTTCCTGTCTAGGGGGTGGGTCAGTGGTTCAACCTTTCAAGTCAAATAGGTTAGCCCATAATGTATAATTAAAAATATTTTTTTTTTAAAATAGAATAGTACAAAAAATATGAAACAATTTTGGGCATATCTATAATATTATGTACTAATAATAAAAACAAAAATAAGTATGATAAATAATAATTATTTTATCAATGACAAATGAAATACAAAATTTAAAACCAATTTGAAAATGAAACAATTTCCATATCTAGATGTTAGGTAGGTCAATGATCTAACATTCTAAGTCAAATGGGTCAATCGATGATGTGTCCAATTTTACATACGTACATAAACTCAAATAAAAATATAAGCTTTGTATAAAGCATTTTGATACAATTCTATTGTTATATATTCACCATATTAAACAAAAATAAATGTGAAAATATGGATTACTTTTACCAATGATGAAAATGGAATACATGATTTAAAATCAACTGAAAAAGCAAAATAGTTTTTCCATCCAAGTGATGGGTTATTGGTTAAACTATCCATGTCAAATGGATGTTATTATTAAATAATAGAATACATAAAATTCTAGAAAATGTAGAAATTTATTGATAATTTTGGATACATTCTATAATATTATATATTCATCAAATAAAAAGTATGACTAATGAGAATTGTTTTCATTAAGAAATGGGATAAAAATTAGGATAAAAAATAAAGAGCATTAATGTCTAACACATGACCCGACTAACCATGTCAAATGTTTCAATAATTTAATTATAAGTTATCGTAGGCAAGTGGTTTGGTAGGGATGCAAACAGATCAGATCATATTTGAATTAGGGTATATTCAAATCTGATCTGATCCAAAGATTCGACCAGATCTCATAAATATTGATTCGAATCTGAATTTGATTAAGATGTCACATATTTGAATCTAATACGATCCGATTTAATTTTTCAAAAAAGTAATAAATTATTAAAAGAAAAAAGAAAAATATAGCAGTTGAAATAAAAAACAAAAAAAAATATAAGTATTTTTCAACTATTTCAATCATATAAAAAGTTTACAAAAATGCAATATAAATAATATATTTATAAATAAACAATAAATAACATATATGTTATATATAAATAATATATATTCTATATATAAATAATTGATTTGATCATAATATTAAACACCAATGTTCAAACAATATATTGGAATTGCATTTCCTTTTGGTAAATAAGTATTTCTTATTATCTCATAAATTAAATAATAAAAAATAAAAATATGGAATTTTTTATAAATTTTATAAAAATATTGAACATATATTAATATTATATATTCTTCATATTAAACAAAAATATGTTTGAAAAAAATGAAAATTATTGTTAGTTAAGATAGAAATAGCTAAAATACAAAGAAAAAATGAATTAATATCTTAATCATATTCCATTTTCCTAATTAAATATGTTAGTGGTTCAACCAATAAGGTCCTTTGGTTAATGATTATCATCATCATCATCATTTGGAACTGCCACGTGCAAAAATAAATGTGGAAATTGAAAGGAGGGAGAGATCCATTGTATGGACACCAAGAATGCAGCAGAATAGGGTGGGCGAATTTCAAAAATTTCTCTCCTCCCTTCCAACTGGGAATCATATTCCCTAATTTTAGAATACAATATTAAAGGATCTAATCGAACCAACCGATCCAGATCTGAACCAAAGAAAAAGGGAAGGGTTATACCTGATACGGAGAATCGGTATCTCCCAACGTCGGTGTTCACGCCCAACTAATACTCCCAAGACCTGCTCCCACTGAAGATGACGTAGTGATACTGGAACAGAACCAACAGTGTTCGTCCTACGAACCAAATTCTTCACAAGAATTCGATGGAAGTGAAGAACATCGTACACAATCAGCCTTTTAGCTAAGATTGATATCAAGAACACCTTCTTGATCTTTCCCTCTCAGAGAGATCGAACCAGGCAGTGAATGGCGGCGGCTGGAGGAGAACTCTAGATATAAAGTTGGCGTATTTCCTTTCCTTCTCTCTAGGGTTTCTGAGATCCAATCTCAAATTGCCGGAGGAGTGTCTGCTAAACCCTTGGTTCGAATTCTAGTAATTCAAGACTAGGGTTTCTCCTCTTTCTTAGTGATTAAGAAGCCTCCTAATCCTATTAGAAGTTATCCCAATCCTAATTTGTATTTGGATAGGGAATTATCTTAACCCTATCTGCAGTTAGGTCAGCCCACTCCTGATCTTATTAGGAGATTTCCAAATTCAAATCTTTATTTGAATCTCAGATCCGCCCCTTTAAGTGGATAATTAAATCAACCAGTTTGAAATGGGTTTTAGGCTCAATACGTATTAAGTGCTCAATAGGCTTCCAAACTGCTGCCCAGTTGGGCTTCTTTGTATGGCATGGGACCCAAGCATTGATCTATACACCAGCCACATGGGTTCAGCCCAGCCTTTGTTACAAGGCCTAGCTGAATTCACTAGAAAGCTCAGTGAACCCCTTGAGCCCATCGCATGGACCCTATGGGCCCAACACTTACACTAACTGGTCCCTGAGTCAAGCCATCATATAAAAACCCAGGGACTGTGGGCAGATGCAAGATTAGCCCATCAGGTATAATCTTAAATGGCCTTACACTTAACCTCTCAGCCCATAATGATCAAACACTGCCCAACAAGAGAGGACCTCTCCCTCAGCTGTAAGGAACAGTGTTGCACTCTCTGCTCACATGGATTCCAGGAATTAAAACCATTTGCAAACATTTTGAAACCGTATATATCTATATATCTTATATATAAATTTTGCAAAACAAAATTTCAACGATTGAAATCAGTTGCCAACAGTTTTTTGGTTTCCATCAGAGAGAGTGCATCCCCGATCATTACCTTTGTCCGACAAAGGGGTTGATCATGTCACTATGATCACCCACTCAGATGAATTCTCAGACTGCCCCAACA